TTCTTTGTTAGTCCGTGTCATAAAAGATTTGACAGAGTTTTACGTTGGCTGTCGAGGGCCTAACACAACCCTCCTCGTTTACCCTGGCTTGGAACTGGCTATGCAATATAGGTAGAGTTAGATTTCAATCTGTATCCCCAAAAAAAATAAAACAATTCATCACATCGTAACTGAATAGATTTTGGGGAGTCCCTTGTATATGTGATCCCACTGATACACTGTGATTGAACATAATGAAATTGTTTCTGAGTTGAGTTCTTTCTTGTTTCCCATTTGATGCGGAAGTTTTGCACAAAAGAACAAAAAAGTTAAGTGAAAAAAATGCTTTTTTTTTTAATTTTGAAGATACTCCGTTATGAAACTGTTCCCTGTTCCCGCAATTAATTCTTTTGTAAATTTGATAAATTTTGTCTGGATAATACAAAAAGGGAAAGTGATAGGAAAAAAACAAGAAAAATCATATCCATTCACAGTGAATTGTTTTTCATTCTTTTATTTATCAGAAATTTTATAGATTCTTCACTTCCAAATATAGCTATTAAATTTGACATTATAATTCGTTGTCTCTCTTTCAATTCTGCTTTATGGTCAAAAGAAACCAAATTTGTTCCCAATCAAGCGGGTTTTGTCTTGGCTGCTGGAGGAGTTTGACTCCCATGTATATCAGACTAGTAGAGTTAAGATTATTAACCCTAAATATTTACTAAATTTTTCAGACTCAATTGAGTTATTATCAAGTGGATATATAAATAATTTGTTCTCTATTTTTTCTCTTCTTCAAATTTTACAACAATTTTGTCAGATGTAGTCTCTTCTATCAGTCGGAAAGAAACATCTCATGAATACTGGCTAAACAATTTTATTGACCCTAAACTGGCTTCAACCTACACGAAAATTATGGGGGGGGGGGAGCTTATTAATTAGCTTTTTTTATTTGTGATTCTTGGCTTTTATTCTTGGAGAGACATAATAAATGGCATATCTTGAACAAGAGTAAAATGGAAATATTAGTTTAAAATTTCTGACAAAAAATTTGTTTTTTAGATTTAGAAATATGAGGATTGTTTCTTACAAAAAGAGAAGGGAGGGAGCATTTTAAACGTGTGTCGCAAGTAGATCATTCCATCACTCTTGAGTAGGACTTGTGACCCCGGTGTCACGTTCTCGTGTTCCAGTTATTTATGCGTTTGTGCACTCCGTCCTAATTTCTCTTATAAATTTTAAATAACTATTTGACCTTTACATGAGTTAAAATTCGATTTGGTGTGAAGAAAATGGAAGAGTTGAAAATTTTAATGATTTTTATTTGAAAAAATGAAGAGTTGGAGTTAATTATTTTTAATTAATTTTTTTACTCTTTTATTTTGCATCTTTTCTATATTAAAAAAATAGCTAGAATTAATTATTTCATAAAATCTTAAAATTATCTTTAATAAAAATTATTAGTTAAAGAAGCTCAGTTAATTAGTGATGAATTTTTATAGTTAGTTAGGATAAAAAGTTTACACTTTAGACAAATTATAATATATTATAAAATTTGTCTCTAAAAATCTGAAATGAAAATTCAGGAGTAAAGCATACGTTTAATTCTTTATGTCAAAAAGTTTACATTTACTAAAATGTGCATTTTTAGTCCTTTGAACTTAACATTGGTAATCTCACCAACAAAAAATGTTGACTCAGCAATTTTAAAATGATGATTCAGCATTTAAATGCTCACATGTTAATTTTTAATTTAAAATATCTAAATTAAAAAATATTTAAAATAGAATCTAATTAAAGGTGCTGTCAAAGACAATTATTCCATATGGCTAAATTGTCTAACGCGGTTCTATGTGATTTACTTTTAAATATTCATAAAAATAGTAATTTAAAAAATATGTTAATTTGTAATTTTTTTAACTTTTTTAATGACCGGCTTTTCAATTAGTCATATTAGATTGAGTATAAAATTCAATAATAACACTAATCCTTAAAGTAATTATAATTTTTTAATATTAATTATCTATTTTTTCGATTATAAAAGTAAGCAAAGAAAATTGTTTGTTTCATCATTATTAAATTGCATATAAATTGTTGATAAAAGTACAGATTTATTTTTAAATATTTCTAAATTTATATTTGTAAATTAAAAAAAAAATATGTTAGCATTTAGATACGGACTTATCATTTTAAAATAAGTAGATGACAGAATCAACATTTTCAGTAATAAAATTAATTAAGTGTAAAAGACTAAAAATATATTTTTAAAAATAAAAAAATAAAACTAAAATTTGATATAAACTTAAAAGATAAATGCATACTTTAGCCGAAATTTGTAGTATTATTTAAGTCTCATTATGAATGAAATTATTGGTCCTTCGTGAAAAAAATATAATTTTAAAAAATTATTTTACTGCAGTTTTCTAATACTTCTTTACTTTTTAACATAAAACCTAATTGTTGAGTTAATTTTGATCCTAAATATAAGACATATTTTTTCATATTTATCATTTTTTATATTACTTTATTGATACTCTCTTAATCATAATTACGTAAGAGAAGGAGTGAAGATATTAAAAAGGATGATTATGATATTTTAAAAAATATATGTGATATTTATTATAATTAACTAATTTTTTAATTTTTTAACCTAATTAAATATGTTTTACATTAAGAGAGGAGTGACATGTAAAGGTAAGGGCAACATAGAGAACATAGGACGCATAAGTGAGGAAAAATGACAAAAAGATGGCACTTTCTTTTTTTCTCAGTAGCTTATAAATAAAAACCAAAAATCATTTCCCCTCTCTATTCGATGAAAATGACCAGAGGCCTGTAGTGCTTCGGACAAGTCTTCTTTGAAGCCACAATCCCTATAGTCAACATAAAAAGAAAAAAGAAAAAAAGAAAGGAGATTAAATTAGGTACAAAAAGCATAATTAGAAGTAATAAAGGTAAAGCAAATAAACCATATCAGGCGGCAACTAAGCATAAGAAAGAACGAAACAGAAGATGCTGCCAGCGCACATGATTCAAAACATTTAAAGGATCAGGTTCACTGCTTCTCAGTTACGAAGTAGGGATGAGAATGATAATAGGAATGGGACTAAATATGGAAGAGGGTCAAAACATTTAGAAAATGTACTACCTATTCTTAACATGCCAAACACATAAGTCCACCTTTCTCTCTCTTTTTCACTCTATAAACGACTTTGTCTGGTGCTAAATGTATCGTAACAAGTGTCTCTTATAGGCCTAGATGGGTGCCACTTCCTTGAAATGATCTTGCCCATTTAGTGTTTGGTGGAAAAACACGCATAAAGTCTCACTCTATTTTTCACTTTCCTATATAAGTTCTTGTTGATTTTATTAAATCCACTGGATTAGGATAAACTTTTAAATAAGCGGGGCTTATTATATCACCAAATAAAATATATTTTCTTTGACCAGCAATCAATAAATAAAATATATGCATCATAAAATTGGGCATACTCCTTATATTTAAAGAAACAAAAGTTGGCAAATATATATATAAATTATAAAGTAATAAAAGGAAATAGTATCAGGTGTTATTTTAAGGCGAGGGAGTGCTCCTATTCAGCGCCTACCTCAGCCATGATGATAATGATGGATACCGAATCAGGCTCCTTAATATATTTGGTCCGCTAATAATGATTTGGTTTTCGTTGACCTTTTCATTCACCGTCCGTATCACACAAGATGCTGGGCCCATAGACAAATCAGGATCGCAAAGGAAATGCCAAGACAAATCAGGATCGCAAAAGAAATGTCCGGACAAAACCAAAACATCCAGGGCTGAAGTGACACGTCGCCGAATGTCTTCCAGCACCCGTTTAGATGCTACGCTGACGACTACAAGCTCCACTGACTTAAGGGGAAATGCGGCAAAATGCCACGCTGGTGCCTGACTTTGTTGTATACATAGATCCGTCAAATAATTAAATGATGAAGAGGTGCCAATAGTATCAGGGGATTTAAAGAAGACACTGCATCCAGTCATAAATAGCTCCCGTAAATAAAGTAAGGCGCCAAATAGCATGCGCAGCTCTGGGCTTTGATTCATTCGTCTGCAATCAGAGAGATTAAGCTCTTCAAAAAATCTCAGGCAACACAACTCATTTAGGGGAAGAATCTCTAGTCTTGAATCACCACGTGTGATCCTTCTTAGCTCACTAAGACCCCCAACTGATGATGAGCATAGTATTTCGAATTTTGAAGTTACTAAATCCAACTCTGATAGTTCCTTTGATGACGACGAAAATACCCTGACACTAAAGCATAAACCCACATCAAAGTTTATAAGAGATCCGAAGTTACTCTCACTGTGACGTTTCTTTGAACCTTTGGAGCGAACTAAATTCACAGCAGCAATCATGGACAGAGACAAGACATGTGAATTGACGTTACAAAAACCTTGACAAGAACACATGTCCTCCATTCAGTTTTTGTGCCTTTGTGAAATCAAGTAACTCCATTGATTGTTTTGAGCTGCCAAGGCTCATTCTCTTAGAATTCGTATAATCCTGAAACAGTTAAACGAGAGATATTAAAAATGGGGAAAATTTTAGAATTTGAATAAAAGACAACTAACTAAAGATACAAGTACATCTACCTGCGCTAGTTTGCAAAGTTTCCCAACATGGTTGTTGGGCATAGAGTGCCCAACAAGTTTCTCAGGATATGGGTATGGGTATCCATCCCACCCTAGGCGCCTCAGCTCATCATAGAACGACAAAAAACTATTTGGAGGGTGCACATTACAGCATCTCACATGCCAGGAAGAGTAAAACTTGACAACTCTGAGATTAGTCATATTTTTGAAGGTGTCAACATTCAACCGTACATCGTTAAAAAGAGAAGCATATAACACTATGCCTTTAATGGCATCAGTTCCCTGAAAAATAAAACAAATTCATAAGAAAAGTAAATGATATGAATCTGGCTGCATTTTGTACAAAAATCATTTGCAGAGAGAAGGCAAGATATCTTTCTCGTACCTTATTATTTTTTAACACATCATACACTTCCTCAAAGTCCTTCAACCGACTACGTCTTCCAGGATTTTCCTTGCATTCTTGCCGAACTATTTCCCAACCCATTTCTTGAATTAAGTCATGCATTTGTATTACATTGTCATTTGAAATGGATATAAGAGCTTTATCCAGAAGTCCTTTTATTCCGTCAGCAGCAAAAAGGTTATTGGCATCAAGTAGCCTCTTGACATGATCTTTATCTTCTCCTTTGTAGAAGAAAGCGATGTCAAGAAATATGTCCCTTTCTACATCATCTAATCCCTCAAAACTCATTTTTAGCACATCTTGAATTTGAGGATGGGGATACATCTCAAGTTTTCCCAATGTACTTTTCCATGTTTCTCTATCACAAGAACAAAGATGTAAGCCCAAAACTTTTAGAGCTAGAGGAAGGCCATCGGCATAAGCAGCAGCCTGTTTTGAAAGTTCTTTGTATCCCCTTCCGGGATGGCTATTGTTGAAGGCATTTAAGCTGAAAAGATTAAGGGATTCTTCAAAGTCCAATTTCTTGACCTCATGTATGAAATTGGCAGGAACTCCTCCAGCAATCAGTGCTTGCTTGTTTTGGCTTGTTACAATAACTCTACTACCAGGTCCCCAGTGAAATCCTTCTGTAACTAGATGCCGTAGTTGTTCTGGAGCATCCACATCATCAAGCACAACTAAAACTTTTCTTCGTCTAATAAGCTTTCTACGGATGAAAGTGGATTTTTCCTCTTGCAGTTCAGCAATAAGTTTCTCTCTTAAAGATTTCAGCCCATGCTTTTGTGATTCTTCTCTCACATTGTCTAAAAAGTAAGAGCCTTCATAGCGGGAAGAGAATTTCTCAAATGCAACACGTGCAATGGCTGTTTTACCGATGCCACTCATGCCCCAAATTCCGAGGATTTGAACTCCTTTTGATTCCATTTCCAAAAATGATCTAATACGATCAAGATGTTGATCAATTCCAACAAGGCGATTTGACTCGCAAGGATAGATATCATTCACTCTTAACAAAACATCCTTGACAATTTCATCTATGAGCTCAGAGTCAGTACTGAATCAAAGAAGAAAAAAGAATGTATCAGAACAAGAAGATGGAACGAAATAGCTAATCAACAAGTCCTATATTTATGTGTTATACAATTCAATGACTCCTAATCCAAGCCGTTTATTAGATAAATGTAGCATCTACCTGTACACTGCATGGAACTTTTAGGATCCAGTATGAAACTGTTGGAATATCATATCGGAAAATTACCAATTAAACATTGTGATGCAAAACATGCTCTAATTTCTACAAAGCGAAGACAAATGTTTTTCAAGGTCTAAATTAGATAGCCTGCCACACACATTGATATATCAACTGTTGAGAATTAAATAGTATTTTGCAAAGGCTTACCCATAACGGGACGAATCATAGCCAGATAGTTCAGCAGCATTCTTCAGGGCTGATCTCCAATTCTCTACCTTCAAGCTGTTTCCTTGAAACCTCAATTCATGTTTAGCAATGCATTTTATAAGCTCCTCTTTGATGCCGTACATGTGAGGGATCTATGTAGTAGAAAATGGGTAGAACAATTTGTTTGTTCACTTTCATGCACTCTATTATTTCTTCAAGTTCATCCAAGCACCACCTCGAAGAGGCGTAGTTTTGAGAAAATGACGATTGAAATTTGCGATTCTTTAATTGCTGTTCGAAGTGAGGATGATATTTCTTCTCCTCTGTTCAATTTCTCATCTACATAGACTATGATGTTCTCCCGACGTAGTTCCTTTATTAGATGACTCAGAAAACCGCGTCTAGTGTCCTTGCCACTGAAGCTGATGAACACATCGTGTTTGATTTGAGAATCATCAAAAGAAGAAGAAGTAGAAGCCATAGCTGGAAAGGAAGATATTCAAAACTGGAGCAATGGGTTTCTTCTCCGGAAACTGCAGCAAGTATTCTGTTGTGCAACAAAGTTAAACCATTCGAAGTTAATGCAGAAGCAAAATAAAGTAATAAATGATTCTCAAGGTTTGAACCATGATTACTACCAGAGATTGCAAGAAGGTTGGTTGGATCATTACTGAGAGATTGCTTCTGCAATCCGTGTTTTTAATTTTATGTAGCGAATTACCGATCGTGGGCATAGAGTCAACTATCGACTAAGATTTAAAAAATGACTTGGTGAAGACCGAAGAAGCAGGGACGTGCCTAGAAGCCATCTCAGGTCTTTTTATTTTGATTTTGATTTTATTTTATTTGAGTGGGACCAAGAAAAGGAAACTGTTTCTGTAATTAATCTTTTTGTTGTTGCTAAATTTGACAGTTTGTCGGGAAAGAAAAAGGAATCTTGATAGGGAAGAAAAAGCAAAAATCTTACACACTCACAATGAATTGTTCTTCATTCAATTTTTCACTTTAAAATATAGCCATTTTTTTTTATATGCATATGTATTTTTCTTTTAGATGCAATCATGTTTGAGGTATCACCAAACATCATTGAGCTATTTCTCATCTACATAAACTATGACGTTCTCCCGACGTAGTTCCTTTATTAGATGACTCAGAAAACCGCGTCTAGTGTTCTTGCCACTGAAGCTGATGAACACATTGTGTTTGATTTGAGAATCATCGAAAGAAGTAGAAAAAGAAGCTATGGTTGGAGAGGAAGAGATTCAAGACGGAGCAACGAGTTTCTTCTCCAGAAAGTGCACCAATTCCTCTGCAACAAAAACCAAACCTTTCAAAGTTAATGCAGAAGTAAAATATAATGATAAATAGCTCTCAAGATTTGAAATATGATCACTACCAGGAATGGCAAGAAGGTCTATTGGATAATTACTGTGAGTTTGCTTCTGCAATATCCGTGTTTTTATGAATCAATTGTTGACAGGGAGTCAACTAAAGCTGGGTATCTCCCTTCCCCTTTCGGCTGTCCCCTTTCTCTTTCCCCTCATTTTCCCTCTTTCCCCTCAGTTACCATTAGTAACTAGGAAAATTCTAAAAATAAAATAAAATTAAATTAAATTAAATTAAAATTACTAAATTCCAAATAATAACATTTTAGTAGATTTTGACAACACTACATTTACAAATAAAAATATAATGACAATATATTTTTGTAAAAATTTCTTACTTAGGATTTAGTAATTTCAAACTTCTTTTTATGTCATTCTCTCTTTAAAATTTTAAAAGTTCGGATTTAGTATTATTATTATTCTTTATAAAAAACAAAGTGCATATAAATTTAAATTATTAAAATTTAATTCGAACACCTTATAATTGTAGTAAGAAATTTTTTTAAAAAAAAATCTAATTCATAAGATATTTTTTTAACATTAGTCTAAGGATCTAAATTATTCGAATCAAATTTCAACTTTGTAAATTTATATACGTTTTTTATGTAAAATTATAATAATAATTTTATAAAATATTAAAGATCAACGGTTATAAATTTGTTATAATCTAGTATGATATATGAATACAGGCAGTGTAATAATGAATTCCACGACACAATAAATTACAATATTAAAAACAATATTAATGGTGATGGGGAGAAAATGAGGAGAGGGGAAAGGCAACACCCATGAGTCTAACAAGCCATTACGCGGTTTTATCTTTATTTTAATTAATGGTGAATGCTCTAATTTTTCAAAATTATAATTTTCTCATGAAATTTTCTCTGAGAGTAAAGTTCAACAACATTACCAATAGAAAGCTTAAAAGAGAAACTTCATGAAAAATTATCTTCCACATGAATCTCAAGAAAAAAATGAGTTAAAGAATATCTAGTGAATGATTTATAGAGAGGAGGGAAAAATAAAAAAAATAAAACCAGTCAAAGTTAATGCTGAATTTAAATAAAATATGGTCAGTACCAGAGATTGGAAGAAGGTTGGTTGGATTATTAGCGTGAGTTGGCTTCTGCAATGCTTCTTTTGATTCATAATATAACAAGACGATTAATTTTTCTCATATAATAAAAAAAATAGAAGTTTAGTCATTAAAATAGTCCTAAAATTATAGAATTTCCTATTTTATTTTTTAAAAAATAAAAAAAATTCTCTTTAATGTTACATTTTATTATCTCTCATCTCTCTCATCTCTCTTCTATATTTAATAAAAGTGAAAGTAAAAACTACAACATGTAATATACTACCTCCGGTTCTAAATATAAGAGTTAGTTGACTAATTTGAGTATATTAAGGAAACAAGTTAAGTTAGTTATTTGTAATAAATATGTGTTGTCTTTTCAAAAATATCCTTGCTAATCAAGTTTGTTAGTTAGAACTATCATTATTAGAAGGACTATCTTGAAAAAAAATGTATAAATATGAGAGACAAAGTGAATTGAAATCTTATATTCAGGACCAAAATAAAAATCAAATAAGATCTTATATTAAAGATCGGAGGTAGTATTTTACTTCACTTTTTTTTTTTCCCTAGCTAATGTCTATCATCAACTAGCAATCCTTGTCTTGGAGTCAATAAAGCAGGGTAGGGCTGGAAGCCATCAAGTAGTTCTATATTATTTTATTTGAGTGGGGATTGGTTGGGTTGGGGTTGTTACTTGCTAACTTCGTGTACAGCTGTGCATGCTTATTTTTTAAATTAACTATTTTCATTGGCATAGGAAGGTCTAAAAGAGAAAAATATAATTAAACAATAAAATATATTCATAGATCAAAATGCGTAAAAATCCTAATTTAAACCTACATTTTTAACAAATTCTTAATTAGGTCAAGAGGCCTAATTGGAGATTTCTAAATGTTGCTAAAAGATCAAAATGCCCTCTGTAATTAAAAAGCCTAATTTTAGTTTTAATTCTTTTAATTGAATTTGACTAACATGTTTTTTCTTTAAATATTATCATATGAAAATTTGGCCAAAAATATTATCATATAAAAAAAAATAAAAATCACGATTATGGCCAATAAAAAAATTGAAGAGTACAGATAAAAAAATACATAATTTCTAGATATCCATAGAATTACAAAAATATGGGAACTAATAAAAATTTTACGGTTTCAAATGTCAAAGATTAACAGGATCAAAGTTTTTTTTTGTGCGAGAAAAAATCAAATAAAAGATTCATGAAATTCTTGAATATCTATCAAAATTAATTTTACTGTTTCAAAAATTACATTGAGACTCATCAATTCATCTTCAATTTTTCGGTCTCCAAGATTTATTCAATATCAAATTTTTAGTATATAAAAAATAACTAAAAGGCCATAAATTCTAGAGTTGACATAACATTCACAAGTACAAAATACAAATTTGACATAAAGTCTAAGAAAAACCACATCCTCATTAGTAAATCTACTAGAATAATTAAAACTAAAATTAGGCTTACACCTACATTCAATTTTCCTTTTTGATTATAAAGAGGCATTTTGGTCTTTTAGCAACATTTGAAAATCCCTAATTAGGCCTCTTGCCCTGATTAGGAATTTGTTAAAAGTATAAGCCTTAATTGGAATTTCATTATTTCAGATGGATTTAATTGGGATTTTTCCTAAATTTTATCCCTCCGCTCAACTGATATTAAAATAATTTAAACATCAAAATACATTCATAGATCAAAATGCGTAAAAAGATGTTAACGGTTCAAACCAAATCTTAATAATTTAAATTTATTTTGTATATATTATTTGTTAAGTGATATTGAAATAAAATTTTTTATGTAATATTAAATTTGAACCATTTAAAATTAATTTAATAAGAAGAATAAAAAAGTGGAAGAAACTGAACCGTAAGGAAAATGATAAAACGGTAAAGTTCCCTTCTCGCCTCCTATTTCTTCCCTTTTTTTTTTTTTTGATAAATTCAGTCTCCTTTTATTCGTAATGTGATCTAGAAAAATTGTGATGAAGTTCTAAATAAGAAATATAATTCTGCTCTCTTCTTCTTTTTTTTTTGGGTGAAAACAAAGGGGTCAAGCCCAACAAGAATAAGGCTCCTTAAATAAAAATCCTACGAGGCAAACAAAGGCCTTCTTTGAATAACTTACTTAGCACCCAAATACAACTAGCAAGGTTGTCACCGCACCAGTTGATTCGAAGGGCAACATTGGTGATTAAATAAAACCTTTGGTTACTAGCACAAATTAAACCAAAGAACTGGAAATTTTTGAGCACATACATATTTTCTTTTCTTTGCCTTGCTCTAATATGTTTTTTTGCACCCCACCCACATGTTCGTCCCTTGTCCAATGAAATCTTAGTAGTAATAAATTGAAAGCACAAAAACACTACGTTCGATTTTTAATATAAAATCTATTTAACTGATTTGAATAAATTAAGAAAAATAATTAAATTGGTTAGTTGTTAGAAATATGTATTGGTTTTTCTAAAATATTGTCTTGAATCATTTGGATTGAAATTGTGCTCTGATGGCAATTCTCTTAACATATACCATTAATATTGTTAGTATCGATAAATAACGGGAACCGAGTGAAATATGGTATTATATTTATGATTAAATTTAACTTTTTGTATATTAGCTTTTATATTAAGGATTAGAGGCATTATTATGAGTAACACTTCAAAATGTGATTTTTAATGTTAGCCCAGAAATTTTCGCTACTTAATTAATGAGTAAACCACTTTACCGATTACGTGTAAAATTAAGTTACAGAATCAGCAATTGGTCCCTGTCCAAAAAAAGAATTTAAAGGGGGGACACGGCGCTCTTGAAGCCAGGTTTTTATGTTTATTTTGTTTGAGTGGGGACGAAAAGAGAGAAGTCAAAGGCAAGCGTCGGGGTGGGGTGCCGTTAAGGCGTTGGTGTAAATGGTGAAAGCCTCATTTTTTAAAATTAAAAATTTGAATTTGAATTTTAAATGACAAGTTTTAATCAGATTTTTATTAAATTATAAGGATTAAAATTTTAAATGAAAAGAAATCTAAGGAGCAAAAGCCTATGATTTAACATTTGAGGGACTAAAACAAAATAAAAACAAACTTAAATGGTCAAAAATTATATTAACCCATTAAAATTTTGTCAAGAAAATTTCTCTAATCCGTTTGTATGGGAAGCAGAATTGGGAAGGGAAAAATAAGAAGAGAGAAAAAAATTGAGAAAAAAATGTTATCACATCACTTGTTATACAATGAACTTCGAATTCAATTCTGCAAAAAAAAATCTTGAGATTTTATGTTTAAAATCTTCAAGATAAAATAATATTTTCCAGTTGGCAAAAAAATCATTTTTTAAAAACATGTTTATATTTATAAATACATATACACATATTAATTATTTATTATTACGTCTTTTATATATTACTTATTATGTTGACAAAAAATATATTATTAACAAATTTATCACTTCAAATAAAAATATATTATAAAATTTATTTTTTATATAATTATCATATAAACTTATTTTTTTTTTAATAATTTGCACATATAAAAAGTATTTTTAAAAACAACTATCTAAATACTTTCACTTTATCAGAATCACTTTTTTACAAAATCTATTCTAAAAAATAACTTTCTCTTAGAAGCTATTCTTCAAACCACGATTTGATTTTATCCAAATATTTTTTTAATAAAACTCAAAGTAAAAAATACATGTTATATATTTTTACATCACAATTTTTTTTCTAGTTGATGTCTATCATCAACCAGCAATCTTTGACTTGGAGTCAATAAAGCAGGGTCGGGCTGGAAGCCATCAGGTGGTTTTATGTTATTTTATTTGAGTGGGGGGCAAAAAAAATTTTTAAAAAAAAGAAGGAAAAATTGTAAAGAAGGTTTGGCTGGGTTGGAGTTGGTGCTTGGTAATGGCAACTGCGTGTGCAACTGTGCATGCTTATTTTTTAAATTAAGTTTTTTCTTCGTAGAAAAAAATTGTTATGAAGTTCTAAATAAGAAATATAATTATTAAAAAAATCTTAATAGTATTTGAATAGTATACAATAACAAGTTCTAAGACAGGAAATGAAAACTACTATTATCAAAATTAATTATTTTCTTTTCTTAAGATCTTATTATAATTCTCCTACTTGCTCATCCTTTCAGTACTTTACTAATTTATTTTTAACCTTAATTTTCTTCTTTTTTTTCTTTCATCATTTTTTCCTTACAGAAAGATTTAAGTAGATTCTGTATCAGAATTCCCTCTTTTATCATATAAACGAGTGTATAGGTGAAAATGTATAACAATTAATTAAGTAGGTTTAAAATATTAATTTTTATAGAGAAAAGCATATAACACTATGCCTTTAATGGCATCAGTTCCCTGAAAAATAAAACAAATTCATAAGAAAAGTGAACGATATTAATTTGGCTGCAATTTGCACAAAAATCATCTGCATGCAGACAGAAGATAAGATATCTTTCTTGTACCCTATTATTTTTTAACACATCATACACTTCCTCAAAGTCATTCAACCAACTACGTCCCCTAGGATTGTCCTTGCATTCTTGTCGAACTATTTCCCAACCCATTTCTTGAATCAAGTCATGCATTTTTATTACATTGTTGTTTGAAATGGATATAAGAGCTTTATCTGGAAGTCCTTTTATTCCATAAGTAGCAAAAAGGTTATTGGCATCGAGTTGCCTCTTGACATGATCTTTATCTTCTCCTTTGCAAAAGAAAGTGATATCAAGAAATATGTCCCTTTCTACATCATCTAATCCCTCAAAACTCATTTTCAGCACATCTTGAATTTGAGGATGGGGATACATCTCGAGTTTTCCCAATGTACTTTTCCATGTTTCTCTATCACAAGAACAAAGATGTAAACCCAAAACTTTCAGAGCTAGAGGAAGGCCATTGGCATAAGCAGCTGCTTGTTTTGAAAGTTCTTCATATCCCCTTTCGGGATGGCTATTGTTGAAGGCATTTAAGCTGAAAAGATTAAGGGATTCTTCAAAGTCCAATTTCTTGACCTCAAGTATGTCATTGGGATGAACTCCTCCAGCAATTAGTGCTCGCTTGTTTTGGCTTGTTGCAATAACTCTACTACCAAGTCCCCGGTGAAATCCTTCTGTAACTAGATGCCGTAGTTGTTCTGGAGCACCCACATCATCAAGTACAACTAAAACTTTTCTTCGGCTAACAAGCTTTCTATGGATGAAAGTGGATTTTTCCTCTTGCAGTTCAGAAATAAGTTTCTCTCTTAAAGATTTCAGCGCATGCTTTTGTGATTCTTCTCTCACATTGTCTACAAGGTAAGAGCCTTCATAGCGGGAAGAGAATTTCTCAAACGCAACTCGTGCAATGGCTGTTTTACCGATACCACTCATGCCCCAAATTTTGAGGATTTGAACTCCTTTTGACTCCATTTCCAAAAATGATCTAATACGATCAACATGTTGATCAATTCCAACAAGGCAATTTGACTCACAAGGATAGATATCATTCACTCTTACCAAAACATCCTTGACGATTTCATCTATGAGCTCAGGGTCAGTACTGAATCAAAGAAGAAAAAAGAATGTATCAGAACAAGAAGATGGAACGAAATAGGTGATCAACAAGTCCCATATTTATATACGTTATACAATTCAATGACTCCTAATCCAAGCCGTTTATTAGATAAATGTAATATCTACCTGTGCACTGCATGGAACTTTTAGGATCCAGTATGAAACTATTGGAATATCATATCATAAATTACCAATTAAATATTGTGATGCAAAACATGCTCTAATTTCTACAAAGCGAAATAGGCTGAGTCATTGTTTTGTTTATGGCTTTGGCTATTGGTGTTTGTACTTTTGAAAGAAATTAATAAAATTGACTTGTTTTGGCAAAAGAGAAAGAAAAGAAAAAAGAAAGGAAAAAAGACAGAAGAAGGACATTTGAATTTCATAATCCCCAAATGGTTTGCTGAATTTGAGAAATCCCAATTTGGTCTATTAGACCAAAGACCAAATTTGGATTATCATGTTAAAAGAAAAAACCAAATTGTCCTTCATTTTATTTATTGTTTTTAGAATACCAAAGCCCCCACTGGTCGGCTGGTCAGTCGTCGGAGCTCTAGCAATGGCAATCACCGGAGCTCCGATGACCGGCCGACAATTGGTCACAGGAGTTCTGGCTGTCAGAAACAATTTTTTTGAAAATTTTTATAACTTCAATATAACAGTTACCAACTTTTGTAATGCTATTAACAACTTCAGTATAGCAGTTAACAACAGGTTTTCTGAGAAATTCAATAAGCTCCGGCGGCCGGGAACAATTTTTTTGAAAATTTTTACAACTTCAGTATAACGGTTAACAACTTTTGTGACACTATTAACAATTTTAATATAGCAGTTAACAACAGGTTTTCTAGGAAATTCAACAAGCTTTGGCAGCCGGAAACAATTTGAAAATTTTTACAACTTTAATATAATCATTAACAACTTTTGTAACGTTATTAACAATTTCAGTATATCAGTTAACAACAGGCTTTTTGGAAAATTCAACAATTGGTCATCGGAGCTACGGCGGCGAAAAACAATTTTTTTGAAAATTTTTACAATTTCAATATAACGATTAACAACTTTTATAACTCTATTAACATTTTTAGTACAGTAGTTAATAATAGGTTTTTGAGTTTGTTAACGGTATTACTGAAGTTGTAAAATGCTACTTTTTGAATTTCTTAAAAAACCTGTTGTTAACTGCTATATCGAAGTTGTTAATAGAATTACAAAAGTTGTTAACCGTTATATTGAAATTGTAAAAATTTTCCAAAAAAACTAGTCGTTAAAGTTATAAAAATGCCATTTTTTTTTGAATTTTTAAGAAAACCTGTTATTAAATGCTATACTGAAATTGTTAATGGAGTTACAGAATTTGTTAACAACATTATTGAAGTTGTAAAATGTTACTTTTTGAATTTTTTGAAAAACTTATTGTTAAGTGTTATATTGAGATTGTTAATAACATTACAAAAGTTGTTAACTATTATATTGAAGTTGTAAAATATTTTCCAAAAAAAAAAAGTAGTTGCTGCTAAAGTAGTAAAACTGCCATTTTGTTGAATTTTTAAGAAAACATGTTATTAAATACTATATCGAAGTTATTAATAGAGTTACGGAACTTGTTAACAGCATTATTGAAATTGTAAAAATGCTATTTTTTGAATTTCTAGAAAAACTTGTTGTTAATAGCGTTACAAAAGTTGTTAACCGTTATATTGACATTGTAAAAATTTTCAAAAAAAAATTGTTTCTAGCCATTGGAGCTCCAACGACCAATTGTTGAATTTCCTGAAAAACCTGTTGTTAACTGCTATACTGAAATTGTTAATAACGTCACAAAAGTTATTAACTGTTATACTGAAGTTGTCAACATTTTCAAAAAAATTGTTTCCGGCCGCCGGAGCTTGTTAAATTTTTCAAAAAACCTATTCTTAACTACTATATTGAAGTTGTTAATAGCGTTACAAAAAGCTGTTCATCGTTATACTGAAATTTTAAAAATTTTCAAAAAAATTATTTCCGGCTGCCAGAGTTTGTTGAATTTCCTAGAAAATCTGTTGTTAACTGTTATACTGAAGTTGTTAATAGCGTTACAAAAGTTGTTAATCGTTGTACTAAAGCTGTAAAAATTTTCAAAAAAATTGTTTCCTACTGCAGGAGCTCCGATGACCAATTGTTGGCCGGTCATCAGAGCTCCGGTGACTGCCGCCGCCGGAGCTTCGGCGATTGACCTGCCGGCTAGTGGGGGTTTTGGTATTTTAAAAACAATAAATAAAATAAAGGGCAATTTGATCTTTTCTTTTAACATGATAATCCCAATTTTGTCTCTTGAGACCAAATTGGGATTTTTCAAATTCAGCAAACTATTTGGGGATTATGAAATTCATGTGTCCTTTTTCTATCTTTTTCCCAAGAAGAAAAAAAATAGTTCATATTTCTTATACATTAGAGAATATAAAGAGGTGGTCTATATAAGGGATAATAAATATACAAATCCTTATAATTTCAACCGGTTTTTAATTAGGTCCCTATAATTTTTTTCTTTTTATCAGGTCCTTATAATTTCACATTTTTTTTAATCAGGTCCTTATAATTCTTTTCTTTTTATCAGCTCCTTATTGTTTTACCTTATTTTTAATTAGGTCTTTGTAGTTTTTATTCTTTATTCTATAAATAATAATATTCTATAAATGATAAATTATTATAATAATCTTATGTTAATATTCTTTTAAATTTTTAGTTAAACATATAGATTATTTATTTTTCAATTCTAATGTTTATAGTTATAAAATTCAAATTATAATAATAAAATTTTCTAAAATTAGAATATAATTATAAATAATTTATAGTTAAGTATAATTGATTATTCTGATTAATTATTAATTACTTAATGATTATATTAATTATTTTGTCCAATTATATAATTATTAATTTAAAATTGAGATTAATTTTATTCGTTGATGATTGATGCTCTGTTTGATCTTTTGTGGGGCTTTGGCGTTCAAGATGCAAAGAATCCCTTTCATTCGTTGATGATTGAGGCTCTGTTTGATACATGAAATGAATTATCGCTCTTCATTTCTGGAATCACTCAACTGATACGCTGTAATTGAACATAATGAAATTGTTTGTGAGTCGAGTTCTTTCTTGTTTCCCATTCAATGCGACAGTTTTGTACAAAAGCACAAAAAAAATTAAGTGAAAAAAGAAGAAGATAGATTTCACATAAAGAATAAAATAGTATTTTTAATTATAAATTAGAGATAAATTTCATTTATAAATTTAAGCAGTCAAAAAGTATTTTTAATCCACAATAAATTGTACTATTTATAATTTATAAGAAGTAGTTTGATTTATAATAAGTTGTATAGATATATAGATTAAAAATTTAAAAAAAAAAATAAAAAGTGTGTTGCCATTTTCCCTAAATTTTATTTATAAATTTGAACAATAAAAAAGTATTTTTAATCTATAAAAAATTATACTTCAAGTTCTGATTATAAATTGGAGATAAAAATTATTTTTTTAGCAAATTAAATAGATTACAAGTACTTTTTATAAGTTATAAATAATTTATTTTCCAAAAGTATAAAATAATTAATTGTTATAAAAAAAAGGTGCTGTTGAATTTTAATTCCAGACTTGTTATTTTATAATCAGAACTTGTTATTTCCAAATGTATTGTTGTTATCACTTAAAACAAAGTGTGTTGTTATAAAAAAATATGTTGTTAAATTTTAATCCCAAACTTATTATCTTATAATCAGAACTTGTTATTTTTAAATGTATTGTTGTTATCACTTGAAATAAAGTGTGTTGTTATAAAAAAAAACGTGTTGTTAAATTTTAATCCCAAACTTGTTATTTTATAATCAGAACTTGTTATTTTTAAATGTATTGTTGTTATTGCCTGCAACAAAATTTATTGTTATAAAAAAAACATATTGTTAAATTTTTATTCCAGATGTGTTATTTTACAATCAGAACTTGTTATTTCCAAATGTATTGTTGTTATCACCTGGAACAAGAGTAAATGAGTTAACTTATATTTTTTTTTGCATCATAATGTTAACAAAAATTTGTTGGCTCAATGGTCATTCCTTATTTTGGGAAGCATTAGGTTGGGGGATCAAATCCCCCCAACCTCACTTCCCCCAATTTAAAAAAAAAACAGTTTCAAAAAAAAAACAAAGGAAGACCGTCGGAAGCGGCCGCCGGCGCCGGAGCTCCGACGGCCGGACTCCGACGTCCTGCCGCCGACAATGGCCGGAAGCGGCCGCCGGCGCCGGAGCTCCGGCGCCGGTGGCCGGATTCCGGTGAGGCAGTGGCTTTCTTTTTTAAATTAAAGAGGGGTATTTTGGTAATTTGGCCATGATTTCATAATTACAATTTGAGACCGGGTCCCTCATAGTAATTTAGCATATTCAGGTGACCATAGAGTGATTTTGCTAATTCGAGGGTCTTTATTTGTGATTTCCCCTTGAATTTTTGTTATTATTATTAAGTTTTTTATTTATTTTGAAGAGACTCTGTAATGAAACTGTTCCCTGTTCCTGTAATTAATTCCTTTGGTAAATTTGATAAATTTTGTCTGGATAATACCCAAAAAAAAGAAGTGATGGGAAAAAAAAGAAAAATCATATCCGTTAACAATTAATTGTTTTCCATTCTTTTATTTATCAGAAAAGTTTTACTCGCGAATATATCAGACTGGTATAGTTAAGATTATTAATCCTAAATATTTACTGAAGTTTTCAGACTCAATTGAGTTATTATCGAGTGGATATATAAATAAATGAATTTTGCTCTCTATTTTTTCTCTTCTTCAAATTTTACAACAATTTTGTTAGATGTAGCCTCTTCTATCAGTCGGAAAGAAACATCTCATGAATACCAACTAAACAATTTATTGACCCTACACTGGCTTCAACCTACACGTAAATTATTAGAAGGAGGCTTTACTTAAAATCATCCAACATAGGGAGAACAAGGAGGGTGGGGGGAGCTTATTAATTAGCTTTTTTATTTGTGATTCTTGGCTTTTATTCTTGGAGAGACATAATAAATAACATATCTTTAATGAGAGTGAAAGTGGAAATATTAGTTTAAAATTTCAGGGAAATTTTTTTTTTGATATCAAAAGTGAAGTCTTACATCAGCCCCCTACGATTGCAAGTGTTATTACAATCAGAATCCAAAATAGGCAACAAGTTAACAGGTGCAGGGACAACCAAATGAAAACCAGAAATAGCCTTTAAACCCTCCTTCGCGAGGAAATCAGCGGCTCTATTATGCATCCTGCTCACATGCTGAAGTTGAACTTCCCAGTCCCGATCCAGCATCTCTCTGATCTCTTTAAGCAGACGAAAATCATCATGATGTTCATCTGGGTGAGTCGAAATTAGTTCCAAAACACTACTGGAGTCTGATTCTAGAATAACTTGACGATGACCTCCATCCCACGCAAGTTTAAGTCCATGCAAACATGCCCATAACTCCGCGTGAAGGGCATCTCCATCATCAAGTCTATGTAGAAACCCACGAATATAAAGACCAGTAGCATCTCTAAGTAGACCACCGCATGCACTAATAGCTCCGAAAGTAGAGAAAGCCCCATCAACATTCAACTTTGTCCAACACTGGGGTGGAGGTCGCCAACCATGCTTTTCACCATGCGAAGATGCTCCTGGTATAGAAGTACCTGAGAATTTACACCGAGCCTGACGTAGGTTATCTAAAAGGGCAATGGAGTTAGCGATAATAGCTTCATTGGTAACTGTCCTCTCTTCAAATATGAAGAGGTTTCTTCGACACCAAATCCACCAGCAAATGACAGAAAAAAAATTTGTTTCTTATATTTAGAGATATGAGGATTGTTTCTTACAAAAAAGAGGAGGCTGGAAGTATTTTAAACATGCATGTTGCAAATAGATCATTCCATCACACTTTATTAGGACTTATGACGTTCTCATGTTCCAGTTATATGTGCGTTTGTACACTCCCTCCTGATTTTCTTTTATAAATTTTCAATAACTACTTTACCTTTACGTAAATTAAAATTCGATTTGCCATGAAGAAAATGAAGGAGTTGAAAATTTTAATGAGTTTTATTTGAAAAAATGAGAGTTGGAGTTAATATTTTTAATTAATTTTTCTTACTTTTTTATCTTACATCTCTTCTACATTAAAAAAATAATTGAATTAAATATTTTTATAAAATCTTCAAAGTATCTTGAATAAAAATTATCAGTTAAAGAATCTCAGTTAACTAGTGATGAATTTTTATAGTTGGTTAGGATAAAAATTTTACACTTTAGACAAATTATAATATATTATAAAATATTAAAAAGGTTCTTATAATAAAGAATGGATGGTAAGATGTTGTATGCTCACTAGTTGGTTACTGAAATCAATCATCAACTATATTCTCAAAAATTTATAATACCTGATTCATTTAAAAATGAGTCAGCTATAATATTATGAGATCTAAATATATTTAATTAATGAAATTTAAATAATACCTTTATTGAGATTTGAATAGATTGAATTCAATAAAAAAACATTATAAATAAATGCAATTTTAAATGGAGGCTCAAATGAAGAAATTGATAATTAATTTTGTATTTAAATAATATCTCAATTGGGATTTGAATATATTAAATTAAATAGAAAGTATCATGATTAAATAGTATGTCAATTGGAAGGCTTAAATGGAGAAATAAATAAATAATTTCAAATTTTCATCTATTCCCTATATATTTTGCATCTCTAATTCAAATTCCATTAAAATGAATTAAAAATATACTCCTGTTATAAGTAAATTTTCAGCTATCTTAGATAATACAATTTATTAAAATTTTAAATCTAATTAAATATGCTTATCTGTGCATCACAAGGGCAAAAAATTTCTCTAAGAATCTGAAATGAAAATTCAGGAGTAAAGCACACGTTTAATTCTTTAAGTTTATCAAATTTCAATTTATTAAAAACTATATTTTTAGTCTTTGAAATTTAACATTGTTAAATCTCACTAGAAAAAAAATGTTGACTCAGCAATTTTAAAATGATGATTCAGCATTTAAATACTCACATGTTAATTTTTAGTTTAAAATATGTAAATTAAAAAATATTTAAAATAGAATCTAATTAAAGGTGCCGTCAAAGACAATTATTCCACATGGCTAAATTGTCTCATGCGGTTCTATATGATTTACTTTTGAATATTCATAAAAATAGTAATTTAAAAAATATTTTAATTTGTAACCTTTTAACTTTTTAAGTGATCGGCTTTTTAATTATTCATATTAGATTGAGTATAAATTTAATAATACTGGTAATCATTAAAATATTTATTATTTTAAAAATATTTGAATATAAAATTTTGATGTTAATTATATATTTTTTCGATTATAAAAGTAAGCAAAGAAAATTGTTTGTTTCATCATTATTGCATATAAATTGTTGACAAAAGTAAAGATTTATTTTTAAATATTTCTAAATTTATATTTGTAAATTGCGTATAAATTGTGGACATGTTCAGCAAAAATTTTGAAATTTAAACAGTAAATAGTAACCTCAGTAATTATGTTAAAATTTTAAATCCATGGGCTTGTTTTCATAGATCTGTTTGAACCATAACGTTTATAAATGCGTACTCTGAGAGGTTAAAAGAAAGACGTTACATTATGAGATCTTATAATTAGGACTGAGGAAGTATGTTAGAATGACAGAATCAACACTTTCTATAATAAAATTAATTAAGTCTAAAGGACTAAAAATATATTTTCAAAAATAAAAAATTAAACTAAAAGTTGATATAAACTTAAAATATAAATGCATACTTTAGCCAAAATTTGTAATATTATTTAAGTCTCATTATGAATGAAATTATTGGTCTTTCTTGAGAAAAAAATATAATGTTAATAAATTATTTTACTGCAGTTTTCTAATACTTCTTCACTTTTTAACATAAAACATAATTGTTGAGTTAATTTTGATCTAAATATAAGATATATTTTTTCATATTTATCATTTTTTTATATTACCTTACTAATACTCTCTTAATCATAATCAAGTAAGAGAAGGAGTGAAAATATTAAAAAAATAATTATGATATTTTAAAAAATATACGTGATATCTATTATAATCAAGATTGGAAGAGTGACATGTAAGGCTAAAAAGAGTAACATAGATAACATAGGACGCATAAAAGAGTAACATAGATAACATAAGGCCGCAGTGCTGCCTCTGAACCGTTGCCGATTAATGAGCTAACAATTTTTTTAAAAGGACAAACAGAAAAGAAAGCCTGACACATTTTCAGTGCAACTAGAGATTTCTTCCATATGCGATACACGAATTAAAATATTTGATTAAATTTTAAATGATAATAAATTGTATTATTTAAGGCAGCTCAAAATTATATTCACTTTTTATAGAAGTTTAATTTTTTTTATTAGAGATTCGAATTAGATATTCAAAAATTAAGAAGACCATTAAAAAATTTAAATTTATTTATTTATTTTTCTATTTAACCTCCCAATTGATGTACTATTTAATTATGATGTTTCCCATTTAATTCAATATATTCAAATCTCAATTAAGATATCATTCAAACTCAAAATTAATTATTAATTCCTTCATTGGACTCTCAAATTGAAATCTCATTTAATAATGATACTCCTCATTTAATTCAATACACATAATTCCCAATCAAAATATTATTCAAATCTCATCAATTAAATATATTCAGATGTCTTAATGTTATACGCAACCCGTTTTTAAAACGAACCGGGTATTACAAGTTTTCAAGAATATAATTGATGATTGATTGATTGATTGGAGAGCATACTCAGTAACCAATGATGTTAATCACTCACAACAATAGCGGGTCGATATTGGAATTTCCTTGCTGGTCAAAAAAAAAAAAGTATTGGAATTTCCCTGAAATTTTTTTTAAAACTTTATTTATAAATTATTTTAACATGTTTCACTCAAACAAACAAAAAAAACTTAAATTTCATGATTCATACAAACCAAAAAATATTTTAAATTTTATTAATTTTCATTTAAACTTTAACCACTTTCTAACTTTATCCCTACTTAATATACATTATAACTGATGTAAACAAAATCAACATAATAATAAATAAAAAATAAAAGTATACATCAATATAAAATTTTTTTCTTAGTATTGTATAAAGAAAGACCAAAAAGCATGTTCCCTCTTTATTCTATAAATATGACCAGGGGCCCGTAGTGCTCCGCACAAGTCTTCGATACAATAATTCCTATACTCAACATTTAAAAAAAAAAAAACGAGATTTAATTAGATATAAAAACCATAATTAGAAGTAATAAAGGTAAGTAGTTAGTTAGGATAAAAAGTTTACACTTTAGAAAAATGATAATATATTATAAAATATTAAGAAGGTTCTTATAATAAAAAATGGATGGTAAGATGTCCTACATTCACCAGTTGGTTACTGAAATCAATCATCAATTAACTATATTTTTGAAAACTTATAATATCCGATTCGTTTGAAAATAGTTTGGGTATGAGATTATAGGGTCCGAATATATTCAATTAATGAAATTTAAGTAGCATGTTGATTGAGATTTGAATAGATTGAATTAAATAGAAAACATTATAAATAAATGCAATTTCAAATGAAGGTTCAAATAAAGAAATTGATAATTAATTTTGCATTTGAATAATATCTTAATTGGGATTTGAATATATTATATTAAATAAAAAATATCATAATTAAATAGTATATCAATAGGAGGCTTAGATGGAAAAATAAATAAATAATTCAAATTCCATTAAAATGAATTAAAAAATATACTCCTATTATAAGTAAATCTTCAGCTATCTTAGATAATGCAATTTATTAAAAGGAAAAATTACTGTAGAGTCCCACAGAAGAGAATTTACTACTGAAAGGTCCCATGAAATCATAAAATGTATATGAGGTCCCAAGGGACTTTATAGCAAAAAATTTGAAACGTGCAATTACTTTCTTGCCCTTCTGATTAAAGAAAGAAACCGAAGCACATGATTGAGAGAAAAACTCCTTTCGGTTTTCATCGTCGTGAAATCCACTGCCGTCTCGTTCGTGTTCATCCTTGTGTGCTCTGACAGCTTCAATCTTTGGCGAGGTCTGTCAGTGTTTGCTCGGTACATTGTCGCTTGCTGCTTCGCACTCCATTGGTCTCTGGTCCGCACTCAATCGGTCTTTGGTCGGACGCCTCCAATCTCGTGCACGGTCCGTCGGTCTTTGGTTCTCACCCCACTACCAGCGAGCCTCGTGGGTTCCATCATCAATGACCTTCGCACCCCACCGCCGGCGAGCTTCTCTCTCTTGGTATATCATATTGATATTATCTATTACTGGCATATTTAGGTGAGGCGCTTCTCAGTTTCAGAGCAACAGTTGGCTATTGTGTAAGTTTTATTATTTAAATTTCGAAGTCATGTTGGCTATTATCAATTGTTGTGCATAAGTTGTTATTACAGTGATCGAAGGTTGCCATTAACGACCCCATGACCTGTCTTGTTATGTAGGATGGAAGACTGGTGTAAGTTGTATTATTTAAATTTCGAAGTAGTGTTGGCTATTGTTAATTGTTGTGTTTAAGTTGTTATTACAGTGATTGAAGGTTATCATTAACGACCCCATGACCTATCCTGTTATGTAGGATGGAAGACTTATTCGGAGGTTCAGATGCATTGTTCATGTCTCCACCCAATGTATTTAGTGATATTTATAAGAAATATAAGAAATATGTATTATATTTAGGACTAAAACTAACTCAATAATTGGGTCCTATATTAAGGACCGAAAGAGTATGTGATATTTATTATAATTAACTAATTTATTTAATTTTTTGAATCTAATTAAATATGTTTTATATTAAGAGAGGAGTGACATGTAAAGGTAAGAGCAACACAAAGAACAGAGGACGTATAAGAGAGGAAAAATGACAAAAAGATGGCACTTCCTTTTCTTTTTTCTTTTTTTTTCAGTCCAATTTGAGGTATAGACGCAGTGCTGCCTCTGAACCGTTGCCAATCAATGGGCTAACAAGTTTTTCAAAAGGACAAACAGGAAAGAAATCCTGACACATTTTCAGCGCATTTGGGGAGCAGACTCACTAACCAAAAATGTTAATCACTCACAAAAATAGCGAGTCTATATTGGAATTTTCTTGAAAATTTATTTAAAACTTTATTTACAAGTTATTTTTAACATATTTTACAAAAACCAAAATAAATAAATTTCATGATTCACACAAATTAAAAAAAAATTTAAATTTCATTAACTTTCATTTAAAATTTAATAACTTTATAACTTTATCCCTATTTAATACACATTATAACTCAAGTAAACAAAATCAACACAATAATAAATAAAAAGTAAAATTGCATATCAATATAAATTTTTTTTCTCAGTATCCTATAAATAAAAACAAAAAATCATTTCTCCTCTCTATTCTATTTATTATTTAATATTCAGTATCCTATAATAAAATAACCGGAGGCCCATAGTGCTTCGGACAGGTCTTGTTCGATACAATAATTCCTATACTCAACATAAAAAAAAAAACAAAAGAAATGGGATTTAATTAGATAAAATAAGCATAATTAGAAGTAATAAAGGTAAAGCAAATAAACCATATCAGGTGGCAATTAAGCATAAGAAAGAACAAATCAGAAGATGCTGCCAGCGCACATCATTTAAAACATTTAAAGAATCAGGTTCACTGCTTCTCAGCTATGAAGTAGGGATGAAAATGATAATAGGAATGGGACTGAATATGGAAGAGGGTTTTTCTTAATATCCTAACTGCGTTTAGAAAACGCACTGCCAATTCTTAACATGCCAAGCACATAAATCCACCTGTCTCTCTCTCTTTTGCACTCTATAAAGGACTTGTCTACGTGCCAAATGTATCATACCACTTCTATTATAAAGTCTCACTCTATTTTTCACTTCCCTATATAAGTTCTTGTTGATTTTATTAAATCCACTGGATTAGGATAAACTTTTAAAAAAGTGGGGCTTATTATATCAATAAATAAATTTTTTTTACCAGCAATCAATAAATAAAATATATGCATCATAAAATAGGACGTAGTACTCCTTGCATTTAAAGAAACAAAAGTTGGCACAAAAGTACATATGCACCATAAAGTAATAGAAGGAAATAGTATCAGGTGTTATTTTAAGGCGAGGGAATGCTCCTATTCAGCGCTTGCCTCCGCCATGACTGAAATGGTGAATGCCGAGTCAGCTTTCTTGACGGTTCGCTCATAATCTGTGTCACATGAAAAGCTGGGCACATAAACGAAACAGGCTCAGGAAGCTCCATCTTTAACCCAGAGGCAAGTTCTAATTTTTGTTCTGACGCATATCTTGGATGGATTCCACATCCTTTGATCAAGCACTCATGTTTGGCTACCTTACCCTTGTCATAATAACAAGTCCTTTGATCAAGTACCAGCATGGAATTCAAATGAGACCTTTGGGACGTCCTCACCTTTTCCTGATCTTGTTGCAAGTCCTTTTACAGTGCGTTCACTGTGGTGCGGGTCATTCCACAGAAAAACGCTATCTGCAGAGCTCGATTCTTCTGTGGCGGGACAAAATAATGCCCATGATACTTGAAGCTTTTCACCATCGTCGAAGTAGCATGACCATTTCAAGCGAGTTCGACATATTTCATTTGAGGCGAACTGGGGAAGAACAGTGCAGAAAACAAAACCCGACAATTCATCAGTAGCTGATGAAAGCTGCATTGCCATGGAAGCCTCCGTTGTTTGTTTATATTTGAACCACTTTGGAACTCTGCCACTCGACTGACATAACAAACTCTCTCTTAAAGTTTTTTGAAATGCTTGATTCGAGAAGAAGTAAGCATGGTCCAGGGGACCGCGAAGGAAATGCCCAACCAATTCCGCAACATCCAGAATGTCTTCCGGCACCGATTCAAATGTAACCCTGGCGAGTACAAGCCGCACTGGCGTAACGGAAATTGCGTCAGGAAGCCACGTTAGTGCCTGATCTTCTTGTATAGATAGATCCGTCAAATAATTAAATGACGAAGAGATGCCAATAGTCTGAGGGGATTTAAAGAAGACACTGCATCCAGTCATAAATAGCTCTCGTAAATAAAGTAAGGCGTCAAATAGCATGCGCAGCTCTGGGCTTTGATTCATTCGTCTGCAATCAGAAACACTAAGCTCTTCAAAAAATCTCAGGCAACATAACTCATTTAGGGGAACAATCTCTAGTCTTGAATCACCATGTGTGATCCTTCTTAGCTCACTGACACCCCTAACTGATGATGAGCACAATATTTCGAATTTTGAAGTTACTAAATCCAACTCTGACATTTCCTTGGATGACGACGAAAATACCCTCACACTAAAGCATAAACCCACATCAAAGTTTATAAGAGATCCGAAATTACTCTCACTGTGATGTTTCTCTGAACCTTTGGAGTGACCTAAATTCACAGCAGCAATCATGGAAAGAGACAAGACATGTGAATTGACGTTACAAAAACCTTGACAAGAACACATATCCTCCCATTCAGTTCTCTGTGCCTTTCTGAAATCAAGCAACTCCATTGATTGTTTTGAGCTGCCAAGGCTCATTCTCTTAGAATTCGCATAATCCTGAAGCAATTAAACGAGAGATATTAGAAATGGGGGAAATTTTAGAATTTGAATAAAAGACAACTAACTAAAGACACGAGTATATCTACCTGCACTAGTTTGCAAAGTTTCCCAGCATGGTTGTTGGGCACAGAGTGCCCAACAAGTTTCTCAGGATATGGGCATGGGTATCCATCCCACCCTAGGCGCCTTAGTTCATCATAGAACGGCAAAAAACTTGTTGGAGGGTGAACAGTACAGCATCTCACATGCCAGAAAGAGTAAAACTTGACGACTCTGAGATTAGTCATATTTTTGAAGGTGTCAACATTCAACCGTACATCATTAAAAAGAGAAGCATATAACACTATGCCTTTAATGGCATCAGTTCCCTGAAAAATAAAACAAATTCATAAGAAAAGTAAATAAAATGCATCTGGCTGCAATTTGTACAAAAATCATTTGCAAAGAGAAGATAAGATATTTTTCCCATACCTTATTATTTTTTAACACATCATACACTTCCTCAAAGTCCTTCAACCGACTACGTCTTCCAGGATTTTCCTTGCATTCTTGGCGAACTATTTCCCAACCCATTTCTTGAATTAAGTCATGCATTTGTATTACATTATCATTTAAAATGGATATAAGAGCTTTATCTAAAAGTCCTTTTATTCCATAAGCAGCAAAAAGGTTATTGGCATCAAGTAGTCTTATGACATGATCTTTATCTTCTCCTTTGTAAAAGAAAGCAATGTCAAGAAATACGTCCCTTAGCACATCATCTAATCCATCATAGCTCGTTTTCAACACATCTTGAATTTGAGGATGAGGGTACCTCTCAAGTTTTCTCAATGTACTTTCCCATGTTCCTCTATCTCCAGAACAAAGAGATGAACCCACAACTCTTAAAGCCAGAGGAAGGCCCTTGGCATAACCAATTGCCCTTTTTGAAAGTTCCTCATATCCCTTTTTAGGATGGCTTTTTTTGAAGGCATTTAAGCTGAAAAGCTTAAGAGATTCTTTAGGGCCCAATTCCTTGACCTCATGTATGGAATGAACTCCTCCAGCAGTTAGCACTTGCTTGTCTTTGCTTGTTACAATGAATCTACTACCAGGTCCCCAATGAATTCCATCTGTAACCAAATGCTGTAGTTGTTCTGAAGAACCCACATCATCAAGCACGACAAAAACTTTTCTTCGTCTAATGAGCTTTCTACATATGAAAGTGGATTTTTCCTCTTGCAGTTTAGAAATAAGTTTCTCTCTTAAAGATTTCAGCCCATGCTTTTGTGATTCTTCTCTCACATTGTCTAAAAAGTAAGAGCCTTCATAGCGGGAAGAGAATTTCTCAAATGCAACTCGTGCAATGGCTGTTTTACCGATACCACTCATGCCCCAAATTCCGAGGATTTGAACTCCTTTTGACTCCATTTCCAAAAATGATCTAATACGATCAACATGTTGATCAATTCCAACAAGACGATTTGACTCACTAGGATAGATATCATTCACTTTTAACAAAACATATTTGACGATTTCATCTATGAGCTCAGAGTCAGTACTGAATCAAAGAAGAAAAAAGAATGTATCAGAACAAGAAGATGGAACGAAATAGCTGATCAACAAGTCCTATATTTATATGTGTTATACAATGCAATGACTCCTAATCCAAGCCGTTTATTAGATAAATGTAGTATCTACCGATAAACCACATGAAACTTTTAGGATCCTGTATGAAACTGTTGGAATATCATATCAGAAAATTACCAATTAAACATTGTGATGCAAAACATGCTCTAATTTCTACAAAGCGAAGACAAATGTTTTTCAAGGTCTAAATTAGATAGCCAGCCACACACACTGATATATCAACTGTTGAGAATTAAATAGTATTTTGCAAAGGCTTACCCATAACGGGACGAATCATAGCCAGATAGTTCAGCAGCATTCTTCAAGGCTGATCTCCAATTCTGTACCTTCAAGCCATTTCCTTGAAACCTCAATTCATGTTCAGTAAATGCATTTTCATAAGCGCCTCTTTGATGCCGTACATGTGAGGGATCTATGTAGTAGAAAACGGGTAGAACAATTTGTTTGTTTACTTTCATGCACTCCATTATTTCTTCAAGTTCATCCAAGCACCACCTCGAAGAGGCGTAGTTTTCTGAGAAAATGACGATTGAAATTTGCGATTCTTTAATTGCTGTTCGAAGCGAGGATGATATTTCTTCTCCTCTGTTCAGTTTCTCATCTACATAGACTATGATGTTCTCCCGACGTAGTTCCTTTATTAGATGACTCAGAAAACCGCGTCTAGTGTCCTTGCCACTGAAGCTGATGAACACATCGTGTTTGATTTGAGAATCATCAAAAGAAGAAGTAGAAGCCATAGCTGGAAAGGAAGATATTCAAAACTGGAACAATGGGTTTCTTCTCCGGAAACTGCAGCAAGTATTCTGTTGTGCAGCAAAGTTAAACCATTCGAAGTTAATGCAGAAGCAAAATAAAGTAATAAATGATTCTCAAGGTTTGAACCATGATTACTACCAGAGATTGCAAGAAGGTTGGTGGGATCATTACTGAGAGATTGCTTCTGCAATCCGTGTTTTTAATTTTATGTAGCGAATTACCGATCGTGGGCATAGAGTCAACTATCGACTAAGGTTTAAAAAATGACTTAGTGAAGACCGAAGAAGCAGGGACGTGCCTAGAAGCCATCTCGGGTTTTTTTATTTTGATTTTGATTTTATTTTATTTGAGTGGGACCAAGAAAAGGAAACCGTTTCTGTAATTAATCTTTTTTTTTGTTGCTAAATTTGACAGTTTGTCGGGAAAGAAAAAGGAATCTTGAGAGGGAAGAAAAAGCAAAAATCTTACGCACTCACAATGAATTCTTCTTCATTCAATTTTTCACTTTAAAATATAGCCATTATTTTTTTTATATGCACATGTATTTTTCTTTTAGATGCAATCATGTTTGAGGTATCACCAAACATCATTCAGCTATTTCTCATCTACATAGACTATGATGTTCTCCCGACGTAGTTCCTTTATTAGATGACTCAGAAAACCGCGTCTAGTGTTCTTGCCACTGAAGCTGATGAACACATTGTGTTTGATTTGAGAATCATCGGAAGAAGTAGAAAAAGAAGCTATGGTTGGAGAGGAAGAGATTCAAGACGGAGCAACGAGTTTCTTCTCCAGAAAGTGTACCAATTCCTCTGCAACAAAAACCAAACCTTTCAAAGTTAATGCAGAAGTAAAATAAAATGATAAATAGCTCTCAAGATTTGAAATATGATCACTACCAGCAATGGCAAGAAGGTCTATTGGATAATTACTGTGAGTTTGCTTCTGCAATATCCGTGTTTTTATGAATCAGTTGTTGACAGGGAGTCAACTAAAGCTGGGTATCTCCCTTCCCCTTTCGGCTGTCCCCTTTCTCTTTCCCCTCATTTTCCCTCTTTTCCCTCAGTTACCATTAGTAACTAGGAAAATTCTAAAAATAAATAAAATAAAAATAAAAATTACTAAATTCCAAATAATAACATTTTAATAGATTTTGATAACACTACATTTACAAATAAAAATATAATAACAATATATTTTTGTAAAAATTTCTTATTTAGGATTTAGTAATTTCAAACTTCTTTTTGTGTCATTCTCTCTTTAAAATTTTAAAAGTTCGGATTTAGTATTATTATTATTCTTTATCAAAAACAAAGTGCATATAAATTTAAATTATTAAAATTTTATTCGAACACCTTATAATTGTAGTAAGAAATTTTTTTTAAAAAAAATCTAATTCATAAGATATTTTTTTAACATTAGTCTAAGGATCTAACTTATTCGAATCAAATTTCAACTTTGTAAATTTACATATGTTTTACATATGTTTTTTATGTAAAATTATAATAATAATTTTATAAAATATTGAAGCTCAACGGTTATAAATTTGTTATAATTTAGTATGATATATCAATACAGGTAGTGTAATAATGAATTCCACAACACAATAAATTACTATATTAAAAACAATATTAATGGCGATGGGGAGAAAATGAGGAGAGGGGAAAGGCAACACCCATGAGTCTAACAAGCCATTACGCGGTTTTATCTTTATTTTAATTAATGGTGAATGCTCTAATTTTTCAAAATTATAATTTTCTCATGAAATTTTCTCTGAAAGTAAAGTTCAACAACATTACCAATAGAAAGCTTAAAAGAGAAACTTCATGAAAAATTATCTTCCACATGAATCTCAAGAAAAAATGAGTTAAAGAATATCTAGTGAATGATTTATAGAGAGGAGGGGAAAAAAAAAATAAAACCAGTCAAAGTTAATGCTGAATCTAAATAAAATATGGTCAGTACCAGAGATTGGAAGAAGGTTGGTTGGATTATTAGCGTAAGTTGGCTTCTGCAACGCTTCTTTTGATTCATAATATAACAAGACGATTAATTTTTCTCATATAATAAAAAAATAGAAGTTTAGTCATTAAAATAGTCCTAAAATTATAGAATTTCCTATTTTATTTTTAAAAAAATGAGAAATTCTCTTTAATGTTACATTTTATTATCTCTCATCTCTCTTCTATATTTAATAAAAGTGAAAGTAAAAAAATACAACATGTAATATACTACCTCCAGTTCTAAATATAAGAGTTAGTTGACTAATTTGAGTATATTAAAGAAACAAGTTAAGTTAGTTATTTGTAACAAATATGTGTTGTTTTTCCAAAAATATCTTTTCTAATCAAGTTTGTTGGTTAGAACTATTGTTATTAGAAGGAATATCTTAGAAAAAAATGAATAAATATGAGAGATAAAGTGGATTGAGATTTTATATTCAAAACCAAAATAAAAGTTAAATAAGATCTTATATTAAGGATCTGAGGTAGTATTTTTACATCACAATTTTTTTTCTAGCTAATGTCTATCATCAACCAGCAATCTTTGACTTGGGGTCAATAAAGCAGAGTCGGGCCGGAAGCCATCAGGTGGTTTTATGTTATTTTATTTGAGTTGGGGGCGGGAAAAAAAAAAAAAAAGAAAAAATTGTAAAGAAGGTTTGGTTGGGTTGGAGTTGTTGCTTGGTAATGGTAACTGCGTGTGCAATGTGCATGCTTATTTTTTAAATTAAGTTTTTTCTTCGCAATATGACTTAGAAAAATTGTTATGAAGTTCTAAATAAGAAATTTAATTATTAAAAATTTTTTTAATAGTATTTGAATAGTATACAATAACAAGTTCTAAGACAGTAAATGACAACTACTATTATCAAAATTAATTATTTTCTTTTCTTAGGATCTTATTATAATTCTCCTACTTGCTTATCCTTTCATTACTTTACTAATTTATCTTTAACCTTAATTTTCTTCTGTTTTTTCTTTCATCATTTTTTCCTTACAGAAAGATTTAAGTAGATTCTGTATCAAAATTCCCTCTTTTATCATATAAACAAGTGTATAGGTGAAAATGTGTAACAATTAATTAAGTAGGTTTAAAATATTAATAAATTTAGTCAAATATAATCCAAAATCAATAGCTCTTTAATGATAAAATATACATTTATCAAATTTCCCCACAGTTAACTTGTTACTTATCCTTAAATAATGAATATTTTCGTAGTCAATCAATTAGAATATTTGAAGGTGTTTGGACAAGCTTTTTAATTAGAACCATAAGTGGCCATCTAATTATCAATCATTCTGAGACTCTCAGTGTGACGGAATGAAAAATCATATATAATGCTTATTTATAAATTTACTATACTCCAAATGACAGAATGTGTAATTTGTCCCTGTCAAAAAAAAATTGAAGCAGGGACCCGGTGCTCTTGAAGCCGTGACTACGCGTTTCATGTTTATTTTATTTGGGTGGAAAGAAAAAAGAAAGGGGAAATTTCACTGTAGGACCGCAGAAGACAAATAATTTCAAAGAGCCCCCAAAACATTTTGAAATCTCACTGCAAAACCAAGGGGCCAATCTGATATTAATTCCACAAGCGAAATGATGCCACTGCCCCTAATGAAGACTTATTTCCTCCGAAAATGAGACATATTATCAGCGGGTGTAAAAGACGGAAGAAAGACGGAAAGGGAGGAGATGGCGTTATTTCCTGCCTCTCCCATGCAGCGCGCCGGTGTGGAAGGGAGATAGCTGACAACCATGAGCTGAGAAAACGCAGTGGCGAAGCTTCACTTTTGCGGTCCGTCCCTCCGCCGTCTTTCGGACTCCAAGCTAGAGTTGGTGCAAGAGAGAGAAGTCGCAAGTGTGCCCTACAGTGTTGCGTGTTCTCTGGAAGTAGCGTCAGGTTGGTGTGGGAGGTAAGATTTTGTTGTTAAAATTTTGGTTTTGTTGGTGTGATTCGATTAGCACAGGTGGGTTGTGATGGGTGAATGAGGAAGAAATGAGTATTTAAGTGCATG